CAGGATAAAATTTTAAAAAAAGGATACTACTGTAATTAATGCAATTTTTCTGTCTAGGCATTAAAGTTTTATAAAATAATATATAACCCAATATTTATGGTTATATTTTTTTTTTGCCAAATATGGACAAGAAGCATGTTATGGCAGAGTGGATTGGGTGCGTGGTAGTCCTTGGTTAGGAGTTCAAGTCTAGGCAGCACAAAAAGAATTATTTTTTTTGGTCAATGCCTGACTTTTGGCGACCAACTTATCTTTGGTCGCTAAAAGTTTACTTTGGCTAATATGAATTAGACTTTCCGCGATCAAAAAAGTTGGTCGCCAATGGTCACTTTTATTGGTCGCTAAAAGTTCCCTTTTGGCTAATATGAATTGGACTTTTCGCGACAAAAAAAGTTGGTCGCGAATGGTCACTTTTAGTGACCAAAGGTTTTTTGGTCACAAGAAAATATCTGTGACGAGGCTTTAGCGACCAACTCGCGACCACATTTTTGGTCATGAAAAGGGTTTTAGCGACCAAATTGTTGGTCACGAAAAGTGTTTTTCTTGTATTGATATTATCTAGTTACATTATATTATTACTTTCGCGGTGAACTAAAAAACCAATTACAAGATTATAAAGAAACTAAGCCTAATTTTAGAGATGCTTTTCCTTTGACTCTTCCTTATTTTTTAATACTCTATGACAACAAATTAAAAATCAACTCTCGTCCTACCCTACGGTATTTGAACATAGATATTAACCCTTGAGATAAGTTTATTTTGCAATGTTAATTTGTTTTTTTTTTTTTTTTCCAGCAAAGAAAATACAACTTACTAGTTCAGCAATCATACCAAAATTTAAATTTTGGGCATTTTTTCACTACATATTGCAAAGTATGTATGGCTGAGGAGGTATCAACGCAAGGTTATATGTACAGTTATGGAGTATTGCTTTTGGAAATGTTCACAGCAAAAAGACCAACTACTAAACATGCTTACGGGGCAACACCTCTATAGCTACGTAAAAATGTGTCTTTTGAGGCATGTAATAGATTGTTGATCCCCAAATCATATTGGAAATGAAGAGGAGCCAAGTAGCAGCAGGCAAAGTAGTACAACCAACATTTCTAAACTAGAGGCTTGCCTAGTACCAGTCTTCCAAATTGGAGTTTCATGCTCTGCTGAAATTCCAAGTGAGAGAATGAGTGTGAAAGATGTTCTCGAGGACATACACAAGATTAGAAATGTATGTTTGGGGTTAGGGGACAAAGGCATTAGGATGGAAGAAGAAATGATGGCTTAACTAAAGCCACATCTGTAGGTTTTATTTGATGTTATCGAATTTTCTTTCCCTCACTTTTCTTCTCCCCTCTCTTTCTTTTATGAATATGTAATTATTAAAAGATTGTACTTGTGTTACTGTCATCAAATACTTTTACTAGTTTAATTTCTATTGTTTATATATATATATAGGCTTTTAGTATTTTGGTTTATGCTCTCTCTCTTTTTTTTCTTTTCTTTTCTTTTTTCTTTTTTGAGTAGGTATTTTGGTTTATGCTTGTGCTTTTATGCTCTCAATCGTCAAAACTCACAAAATCAAATTGGCACGAATATGTATGCATATGTAGATTGGAGACACAAAATTGCCAATGAATTGATGGAAATCAAATCGATAGAAAAATGGGGTTGGGGATTCTTACTTGAAGGTACAAGAAACAAGATCGGGATTGACTCGGTGGCCTGATGCCCAGAGCATAAAAATTGGAAGAAGCAGAGTGTCTCAGATTGTTTATCATTACATTCAAAGACTCCATTGCCTTCTCCATATTTTGGATTTCTTGAAAGACTCTAGGGTTTGAGGTGGCGGCAGTGGCGGCGACTGGAGATGGTGCGAGGAGAGGGGCGCATCACGATGGCGGAGTTGGGGGATGGGGAAGATGCTTGCCGGAGAGCTTCGCGGTGGGAGGGTGGGTCTTCTCTAACTCTTCTTGCTTCTGCGTTTTATTTTTTGGTTTTCTTTTTGGGTAAATTATACAAATAAAAATTGCATAATAATGACTTTTTATTTTCTTTATAATTTTAAAAATTGCATTTCACCTATCTAAATTTTAATCACATAATAATATTTTTTATTAATAAAATATTAAATTAATTAATAATTTTTGTTATTTTATTGTCGTTTCGTTAAACAAAAAAAAAATTATTAATTTTGTTAAATAAATTTTTTCATAATAAAATAATTATTGTCTCGGAATTATAAAGGCAATTATATTTTTTTTTAAATGTTGAAATTGTATTTTATTTATTAATTTGATTCTGAGAACTAACATTGTGCACTATGGAGAAACTGAACTTTTAATAAATTATCAGTACCATGTATATTAATCAGTATCACTAGGATATTGAATTTTTATGAGATAACATGTTGATTTAGGGATTGTTTGGAAAGAAAGAAAAATAGTCAAAAATATGTATATATTACAAAAAACAACTTATTCTTTCTAAAAAAAAAAGTAAAAAAGCAAGTTATTCTAAAACTTACAAATATTATTTATAATAAACTTAATTTTGTAGAACAAGGAATTAATAAAATAGAATAAAATTAAAACTATTAAAATAGAGAACTAAATAATTTTACGCTATACAATGCCGCATCTATATAATTTTTTTTTGAGAAAATATTATTTTCCTTTCAAATTATAACCGAAAATCAATTCCACCCTTATATTTTCAATTATATCAATTTTACACTCTAACTATTTAATTTTGGATGAATTTCATCCCTCGTCAGTTGTACTCTAAAATCAAACAAAATTTACTGACGTGGTACTAAACTTTCAATTGGAACTTCATTTTATCCAAACTATACCTCAAATATAGCGATCCCGGGTTTACCCTTGTTGTATAGTGATCCGGACATGTGTCCGTGGATGTTGGTAGTTGTTTAATTATCTTGTTTGCATCCTTTCTTACTTTGTATTTGAGTTATAGGATGTGTTGAGCGGTTTGTTACAGGTTGGTTGAGTTTAGAAACCAAAACTAGTTGCCCAGATTTTTGCCTGTACGCTCGAGCAGAGGTGTTGGCGCTCGAGCGTAGATAACCCATTCAGTATTTTCCTGTGCAGCGTTGTACGTGAGCGTGGGTATTGGCGCGCTCGAGCGGGGTTGTCTGAGTGCCCCGCTCGAGCGTAGGGTTTGGGAGCTCGAACGGAGGCCTGGTTCTGCAAAAGGCTGGGCGAGTGCATTCTGCGCTCGAGCAGGCGGGTTGGCCGCTTCGAGCGGAAGTCTCCTGAAGTGGCCCGCTCGAGCGGGTGTGTTTACGCTTTTGCGAGACCTGGGTATAAATCTCCGATTTTTGACTCTTTAAATCACTTTTCACTTGTTCCTTCTCTCTCTTACTTTTCCAAATCACCATTGTTGAGCCTCTCACATAGACTTTACCTCTCTAGGTTTTGATCTAGTAGGAGTGATTTTACTCACCTTTGGCCTTTACAAAAAAGTTGTTGATCGCGAGAGCTTCATTTTAATCTGAAATCTCGGTTTTGGAGCACGTTGGGTTTTGTCGTCTTCTCCTTTGGGACTCCGAATTTGAGGTAGGGATACTACTCCTCCTCTATGGGTTTTGTCTTAAATTTGATATTTGAGATGTTGGGCTTGGTTTGGTAAATTTTGTGAAGATTTGGGGGAACTTTTGTGTAATTTACAAAAGTTGGGGTTTTATTCAATAAACTAACTAGATCTATGTTTGGCATAGAAAAATGGAATGATTGTTGAATCATTGATGAAAATGGGACCTAAGGGTTGAAATGGTAATTATGGAAAATGGCTATAACATTGTTAATTATTGGATAATTAATTGGTGAGAAATGAGGAAATGAAATGTTGATTGAATATCCATTTGTGCATTTATTTTCTATTTTAGAAATAACTGCTTTGGGCTATCGGTGGAGGATAGTCGAGATTGTTGTAGACAATGCTGATGATTAGGTAAACGGAAACTAATCAATGGAATGTGTCATGGAACTTGACGGGTTGATAGAATACATAATTGTGTGTATTGTGTGATTGTATATAGAAACCAATGATGTGTTTATATACGTTATGTGTAGAGGAGAGAGTAGGGGATGTACTCCGCGGTTTAGGGGAAATAGGGGATGTACCTCTAAACGGATAGGTATTGGGAGGAGATAGGGATGAACTCCGTAGACAAGCTCATATGCTTGTCTAGAGAAGTGAAGATAGAGCTCATATGCCATCTTTGTGAAGTGTGGATACAGCTTGTATGCTTATCTGTGGATATTGTTGATATAACATATTGTTGTAGAGTGTGGATACAGCTTGTATACTTATCTGTGGATATTGTTGATATACATATCTGTTGAGAATTGTGGATATAGCTTTTATGCTTATTCTGAATGTGAGATATAGTTTTTATACATATCTGTGGAATATGATGATAGAGCTAGCATGCTATCTGTTGAAAAAGGGAAAATGAAAGTAATTGGGACTTGTAAGTCGTTGACATAAAATGTGAATTTATGTGATTGTATCAGTGTGACCAACTATCAATTGCTAATGTTTAGTCATTGTCCATGGTTGTTTAGTGTAATTTCTACTGGGGCTGTGGCTCACCCTATATGGGAATATATTTCAGGTACAGTGAACATGCCACGCTCAAGACAAGCTGGAGACATGACAGCGGGAACATAGATCGAGATATGTCATTAGTTTGACTATGTAATCTATCAATCTGTAACATCTTCAAGCCAGGAAAAAACAAGTATGGTTAACATACTACTTTTGTTTGAAACCAAGTGTTAACTTGGAAAGCTGTAAGCCCGTAGCAGGCTTTTGTTTTGATGTTAAATGTTAATACTTTAGTAACTGAAACAAACTCAATGAAATAAAGGAATGTGTTAGTTTATATGTAAATGCTTGCTTATCTGATGGGTTTAATGTTATTATTTGAGGGCGTTACAACTTGTATCAGAGCGTACCGGGTTCGAATACTTTGGGTACGTGGAAGTGATTAGGATCACAATGGTTTGTCTCGCTTGTAGAAGACGTAGATGTGAGACATATGCTATGTGTTTATTTTTCATACATGCTTATGTGACTATGTGGGTTGGGATTTTAATTTCTAGGATGTTGATTGGATCTTGAGTTCTGGGATCTGTTGGAAAAGCACTTGATCAACGCTGTTATAACGCGACTATATATAGTACGTCGGGACTATCATATCGGAAATGAAGTTCGTAGTGCTTATGTGTTTATGTGCTATGTGGAGTGAATACAGTTGTCCATGCATTAGACGTGAGTGTTTAGTTTCGGCACACTTATGAATGTGCTAACGTTTCTGTGTTGCTTTATATAGAGATGATCAGGAGAGAAGAGTGCTAGAGAAACATAAGTAGACGAGAGCGGAAGTACCGTTATAGGGTGAGATTCGGCAGTGCAGGAGGGAGTTGGCAGGCCAAGTGGCCGAGCCAGTAGTCAGCAGGCTATGGGTGCTTGGCCAGAGAGATAGTAGAGCTTTAGGTTTCTCTAGAGCTGGGAATCAGGCAGCTGAGACAGGGATTCTTCCTTGAGAGGGAGTTCTTCCGTGTAATTCCGGACGAGTTTATCGGGATCCTAAGAGCCGCTTAAGGCAGATGAATGGCTCGAACAGACAACGAAGACGTTTGAGATGCTTGGCATCGAGACGGAGCACTGAAAGTGACCTTGGCATCCTTCCAACTGAAGGGAGATGCGGGTCAATGGTGGAAGTACGAGATAAGCTCGTGTGTGGGTACTTGGGAGCGGTTGTGAATGCTTTTCAGGAGAGGTTTTTATCAGCAGCAGCTAGGAAAAGCTGGAGGGATCAGTTTAGCCGGCTCTAATCCAGTAGGGTTGTCCACTGCCGAGTTTGAGAGCTACTACTTTACCAGTCTGTCTAGGTTTGCACCTGAATGGTGGCGTCTGAGGAACGGCCGTTGCTATGTTTGAGCGGAAGTGAGCGGGCTCAAGTTGAGAATTGGTGGTTTATATTCGGAGTGAATAGAGCGCCCTGGACGCTGCAGTCTGAGCAAGATCAAGGAGCATGACAAAAGGATGAGAAGGCTCCAAGAGGAGCCAGATAAGTCAGAGTATAGGACAGAGAGACAGGCAACTCAGGTATAACCTCAGCAAATCGCCACAGCCGGTCGGTGTTGCAAACATCGAACACTCCCAAAGCTGCGACAGTGCAGGCATCGCGCGAGAGGTGGTCAGCGGGATTTCACACCTGTTCACATGTGGCCAGCTGGTCACACAGGATACATGTTGCCCCGAAGGAAGTGAGTGGGTACAGACGCTTCTTCTTCAGCTAGACCGCAGAGTCCAGAGTATTGTGGCACGGGCAGCTCTGACTTGTTATCAGTGTTGACAACCTGGGCAATGAAGAGTTGTATTGCCCAACTGAAAGTGCCACTTCACACTCGGAAGCGTCTGGTTCAGGCAGACGCAGGTGTTCAAGCCAGCTCAGTCTGTGCAGGCCTCAGAGGGCCATCCGGAGAGCTTCGTCATCCCAAGTCTGTCGCATTTCCATCCGCAGTTTATGCTCGAGGTGAGCAGGTAACCAGGGGCCTACGGGCGCGTGTATGCTGTTACCGCGCAGGATATTCAGTACCGGCTCCATCAGTAGTGAAGGTACTTTTCTGTTTTTGCAACTCAGTTGCTAAATGTGTTTGATAGACACGGGTGCATCTCATTCTTTTGTATCTGCTGCATTTGCATCTGTTTTGGAATTGGAGTTAGCAACGTTAGCATCTCCATTTGTGTGGTATCGCCTTTGGGTGGTGAGTTAATTCTGAAACAGGTGTTAGAGGATGTGATTAGAGGTCGCCGGACTATAGCTTCCTTTTCGTTTTTGTCATGCCCATGAAGGTTTGATGTTTATTTTGGGTATGGACTGTATCGTCATACGGGTTGTTATTGATTGCTTACCGCCAGAGGGTACATTTTGTACCTTGAGCGGGGAGTGGTTCCATTTCTTGGAGACC